TTTTTTTTACTTTTTTATATAAAGTATATAAATTTCTTTAATAATAATTATATTATTTTTATATATAAAAGTTGTTATTATTACTTTGCTTATTTTAAAAAATTTTTTAAAGATATTATTATAATTTCTAAAGTTTTTAATAGGTAATATAGCTATTTTATTATTACTTAAATTTTTTTTATCCTTTACTATATTATATATATTAACTGCTTTTTATTTTTTTTAGATTTTATTATTAATTACTACTATATATATAAATTTATATAAATATAAGCTTTACTACTATTTTTAGAAATTAAATTTAATCCTTTATTTTTAATTATCCTTTATTTTAAATTAATATTTTAAAATATTTAGCTAATAATTTAATTAATTTAAAAATTATTTTTTTTTAACTATAATATTTTTAATATTAATTTATATCTTACTATATTTATAATATTAAATTAAATAGTTTTTTTTTAATTATTAAAAAAAATTTAAAAATAATTAATTTTTATATTAATAATTCTATTTTTATAAAATACTTTTTATTTATTAATTATATTAAATAAATAAGGTTTTTTTTTTATTTATTATAATAATTAATACTAATTTATTACTATAAGTAAAATAAAATTTCTTTATATTTTACTATTTAAAAGTATTATAAATAGCTTTTATTTAATTTATATTATAATTTTTATATATTTATATTTTTTTCTATTTATTATATAAAAAAACCTTTTTTTAAGTTTTTTTATAACTATTTAAAGCTTGTTTAAAAGTAGCTTTTATTGTTTTTTTTTATTATTTAATTTTAAACTAAAATATTTTTAATTTTATTAATAGCTTTTTTAATAAGCCTTTATACTACTTTTAATATAATTACTACTATTATAAGGTTTTTTAGTTATATATTTTTAAAATTAAATAATAAAATTATATTTATATAATATTATTAATATTAGTTTTAAAATTTTAGTTTAAAATAAATTTAGTAATTTAATTAGAAATATTATTGCTATAGTTTAAAGTTTTATATATATTTTAAAAGATAATTTTATTATAATTTTAAAATAATATATTCTTTTTTAAGTATATATTTTTATATTATTTAAAAATATAATTTTTTTTTTTTATAAAATTAAATTATTTTTATTATTTTATATTATTTAAAAAAGAAATTCTTTTTAACTTTATTAATATAATATATTTTATATTAATTAAATATATAAAAAGTTTATAAAATATTTTTATAATAAAAGTATTAGTTATATATTTTTAAATTATTTATTAGAAAGTATATAAATAATAATTTAAATAATTTATTATAAGCTATTACTATTATTATACTTTTATCTTATTTTAAAATTATAATTTAAATAATACTTATTTTAAATACTATTAGGGGTACCTTATTTATATACTTATAAGGGTTTTAGTTTTATAAATTTAAAAATATTATTATATTAGTTCTTATAACTACTATTATAAACCTTTATTTTACTATAGTAAGTATCTTTTTTAGTTTTTTAAATATTTTAAAAAACTATTTTAAAGTTTTTTTATTAAATAAATATATCTTATAATAGTTATTAAAATATTTTATTTAGCTTTTCTTTATATAATTTTTAAGTACTTATTATTATTTAGTAATGTTAACTTACTATATCTTTAATATTAGCTTTTAATTCTTTTTTTTATTTTTATTTTTATATTTTTTTATAAAGTATTCTTTTTTATTATAGTTATAATATTTAATATTTTTTTTATTTTTTTTTAAATAATATTAAGCTTTATTAAGCTTAAATACTACTTATATACTATAGTTTTAAGCTAATAGTACCTTTTTATATTTACTTAGTTACTATTATATTAAAAGTTTTCTATATTATTACCTTTTTTTTTTAAGTATTATTTATAAAGTTTATTATTAATTTTAATAGCTAGCTTAATATATTATAGGAAGTTATTAAGTTAATTTTATTTAATTAATTTGTTTTTTACTTTTTTTTTTAAGCTATTATAAAATATAAATATTTAGGTATTATTAATATAATTTATTTAAGTATAAATTTATTAAAATTTTATAATATAAGTTAATACTAGTTTTTTTTATTTAAGTTTTATAAATTTTTATTTAGCTTATTATTTTTTATTTAAGTTTTAAAAAAAAGTTTTTAAGATATTTTTAAAGTTTTTATAACTATTAAAGATTTTTTAGGTTTTTTATTTATATTTTTTAAAGTTATTTTTTTTAAATAGTTTATAAAGTAGGGTTTAAATTATATAAAGGCTTTTTTTTTAAAAAAAAGGAAGCTATATATATAATTTTTTTACTATTTAATTAATAGTTTATTTAATAAAAGCGTTAATAAATTTAAATCTATATAAAGTAAGCTTATAATTATTTTAAAGTTTTATTATATAAGGTTAAATTATTAAGTTTAATATTATTTTTAATTAAAATTAAAATATTAATAATATTAGCAGCGGTTTTAAAAGTTTTAACTTTTTTTTAAAGTTATTTTATTTTTTTATTTTATTAAGCTTATTTATTAATAAAGGTTTAAAGTTTATTTATTTTATTAATTAGTTTTTAAAGTTGCTAAATATTAACTTTAAAAGTTTTATTATTAAATATATTATTTAATTTTTACTAAAAGTATTATTAAAATATATTATTATTTTTAAATTTAAATATATTAAAAGTAAAGTTTAAAGTAATTATATAAATTATTATTTAAGGTTTATATAAAATATTTAAATAAAAGTAGTTAAAATATAATAATTATAACTAATTTTTAGCTAATAAATTTAATAAACAGGTTTATATTTAAAAAATATTTAAAATAATAATATTTTAAATAATATATAATAATAATTAATTAAAAGCTTTATAATTATTTAAAGTAAATATTTAAATTAATTATTAAAAAGTTATTTTAAGCTAATACTATTTATTTAGTAATAAGTATATTTTATATAGTTTATTTTTTTAGCTTAAATTATTAAGCTTAAACTTAATTTTATTAATTTATAATATTAGCTTAGGTAGTTTAAAAATAAGCGTTTTAATTTAAGTACTAGCTTATTTAGTTTAGTTTTAATTTAGATGATTTATGCCTTATATAAGCTAGTAGGTTATATGGCTTAGTGTATCCTTTTTTTTACTGTCTAGCTATATAACAGCCGGCCTGTGCCTATCTTTAGAACTAACTGTTAATCCTATTTCTGTTAGGGTCGTAACATCCTATAGCAGTTCTTTATTTAATAAAAATACAAAAAACCCTATTTTATTATTTAGTTATAATAATAAAGCAGAGTTTATATACAAAGTAAGTATTTAAAGAGCTTAATAATAGTAAAACTGTAAAACACTTAAGTAAAAACTCTTATTAGTTAGTAGCCTAAATACTAGCTCTTTTAATAAAAGTTAAAAAAATTTAGCTACCTTTTTAAAGTTTAAATACTTATTAACTAAATAGCTGCTACTATACAAGATGCACTTATATAAGCGGTTGTAATTAGCTTTTAAGCAGGTTTAATAGTTAAAGTTATTATAAACTTTCTAAGTTTATTTAGTAGATTAGCTAGTAAGGAAGGCGCTTCTCTTTATTAAAGCCTTATTAAAGTAGTTTAACTTTATAGAAAAGTTAAATTATTCCTTTAGCTTAAAAAGTTCTGTAAAAATAAGAGCTAAGTAATAAAGTATAAAGGTAATAATTAGGTTAAATTAGTGCTTAACCTTTTACTAAACAAGCTAAAAAAACTAAATATTTATTACTACTATAATATTATTATATTGCTTGCTAAAGAAAGTATTAAAAATAATGCAATAGTTAGTAAATATCTCTATAAAAACACTTTAGAATTTAAAGTCCTTAAGGGATAAGCGCTAAGCAGTTATAGTAATGCTACTATTTGTAAAGGAAATTTTTTAAAACTTGGAAGCGCTATTACTCCGCTTTAAATAAATAAAGTTATAGGCATTAAAGCAGCTTTTATAAATTTAGTAAATGAACTTAAGGGGGATAGCTTTATAAAAGATTTTATTATACTCCTGAATTATAGCTATATACTTATATAAGTTGTTCTTGTTATCTGCTAACAATTATAATAGTAGTATAGAGGTATTAAGTTAAGTATAGCGGCGGTTTAGCTTTATTTATTAAAGCTTAAGCTCCTTTTTATTTTGGCAGAGCTTTTTAATATAAATCTTTTGCTTTTCTAGCTTAAGGTTAATAAGTATATTTGCTATAATTATTTAGCTTAGGCTAGGCTAGGAGGTTATAATTTTAAGCACTGCTAAGGCCTTGCTTTTACTATGTAAAGAAAATATCTTAGGTAGGGTTAGCGTTGCTAGTTATAAAATTAATTATAAAGTCAGCTATAAAGTTAGCTATAAAGTTAATTATAAAGTTGGCTATAATATTTATTATAAAGTTAGTTATAAAGTTTGTTATATAGTTAGCTGTAATATTTATTATATAGGCGGTTATTTAGTTAGTGTGCTATTAAAGGTAGGAAGAAGAGGTTGGTTAGAGGAGCTGTTTAAAAAGCTGTTAAAAGAGTTTGTTTTAGAGGAGGAGCTTGATATGTATACTCTGTTAGAACTGTTTTTTAAGCTTGTTATTTCGCCTGTTTACCTATAGGCATTAAAGAGATAGGAAAGCGTTAATAATATAAGTTATAATAATTAAAGAAATTCTTTTCTCTATTTATCTCCTAATAAAAACAATTAAAATAGAGTATATAATAAATATCTCTTTATATTACTTACTTAAATATGTTAATTTTATTTTTTTAAAAAGGGAAAGTATAAGTAAAGAGTTTATATAATTTAAGCAAACTTATAAGCCTTATAAAACTATATACTAAATAAATAAAACTAATTAAATTAAGTATAGTAAAGTAAATAAAGGAAATATTTTTAAAAAAAGTTGATTTTAAATATAGTATAAGCGTAGCCTATAAGCGCAGATAATAGGTGAGGAAGAGGGAAAAAGCCAAAACAGATGCAGGCAGGGGACGCACTCCTTTTTGTCCGCTCGCTTCCGTGTATACAGATATTACCATGTTCGTCATGGTGCGGGAAATGCTTCTTGGTCTATGTCCTTGTGTGCTGACTGAATGTGCTGACTGAACTCCCAGACTTCCAAACCACTACCTGCGCAATCATTGACGTTCCTACGACTACAAGCCTAGTCAGTAGGGCAGTCAGACTTCTCTCCCTTCCTCCCAACAGCTTCTCTACTATCTGTCGATCAATGTCTTTGCCCACATGGTCTAGTCTTCTACGCTCGGTCTTCCAGGTCCAGCATCATTGAGATCAAGGCCCCCCTCGCCCCCACCCCCCGCGCGTTCTTGGTCTGCCTCTCATGCGCAATGCAAGATTATGCAACAGCAGCAGCAGCAGCAGCAACATATGCTTAGCAGTCTAGCAGCTTAGCAGGGTGCCTGTGAGGTGGAAAGCAGGTTTCCAGGCAGGCAGATGCATCTGTCTTGAACGCCAACACCGTCTCCAACGTGATTGGAGGCAGTCGGTCGATCTTCTCTTTCAGACCTTGTGGCCTAGACCTGGCGTCGCCCCGGGACAAGTGCGCCCTCGCATTCCCCGCGCGAGGCCGCTTCATCCCACTTCGGCATGTACACACCAGTCCTGCCGCCGTCTCCCGGCCCGGCCTCACCGCGGGATAGGTCTTCGTCTCGGTTATGCAGGTGCGGACCCGCAGGTGACTACAAGCCAAGGGTTGTGACAGCAATGTCGACGCACGATGCTGAATGGACGCTCATCCACCGGCCGGCCCATGGCATGCCCTCGGATGCCAGTGCCTATGGATGCTGCAGATACGTGGCGCCACCCCCGAACTACCCGTTGCCTGCTGCAGAATCTGCTGAGATCCCAAAATGCAAGTCGACAAGGTCGTATGCCTCGAGCCTATACGCAGTCCTCATTCGTGCGGGCCCGTCTCTCGCATGCACCCGTGCAGCCCTCCCCATCTGTCAGTCTGCTCCTGGCTAACGACGATGGGTCTTTCCCATCCTTTTGCTTTCCCCCTGCCCTTTGTGGGTTCCTTTTCTGGAACAGCTCTCTTGACTGGACCTCCACTTGCAGGTTGTGCTCTGTGAGGCATGTCCCTTTCCGTTAGCAAGTGCTGGTGGGTAACGAGCACAAGTTCCGGCGGCTTGGTTCCCCCAAGGCTCTGTGTGTGACAGACGAGCTCCGGTCACCTGATGGTAGGCACATGGCCAGCGCCTTGGGAATAGGACACCAAACTTCCTCATGGAACGTCTGGTACAAGGAGAGGAGGAGGTCAGGCTGGCACATGGTGGATGCTGCAAGCAACAGCGCCTATTTGTCTGCCAGCCATCTACTTGGCTGCTGCGTTGCGAGGGGGTTACATCCACTCAACCTTGCCCGACGAGGGGCACCAGATGCTGCAGCTAGGATGACAAGTGGGCTGCTTCCCGGACGTTTACTAGCAAGTCGGCCACATGGGGCCACATGGGGAAGTTTTCGTGGATGAAGGCGTAGGTTGCAGTTGGGGCGGATATGGGGGCCGTGTCTGCTCACATCGGTGTTCCTACAACCACCACATCACATCACATCACGATCTCTGGGCCCAGCTCCCCGCAACCGTCCGCCAATGCCCTTCCTGGACTTGGTGGACCATCTCCTGCCCGTCTAAGTCTCTCGGCGATCGTTGCTTGCTTCTTACAGCTACAGTGTGCCGCTCCAGGGCCGGTCGACCTCTGATATTCTAGTACAAACCCTACACGTTGCTCCTGGGCCTGTGGTTGCGCCGGCGTTTGCCGCAAGAATGCGCACTGCAGTAGCACCATGAATTGCTGATGGGTCCAAGGATACGTTGGAATAACCGCCCGAGGAGTAGGCACCCGGCGAAATTAGTATATAGTGTTCTGGCTCAATCGATGGCTAATACAGTCTCTGGCTAGTGCCCTCAATCCTCCTTCGTAACCAACTCGCTGACCACCTGAAGTCTCATTAGTATTTGTTGCCTTGCCGCTGGTCTTTCACACTGCCTTCCTATTCACAATATGCGTCCAGTCAAGCCCCCTGTCGCAGACGACCATCAAGGGATGAGTCGAACGTCGCCGACGGTATCCATTATTAAGAGACCTTGGGATGAAGTTTCAAGCAACGGAATAATGCCATGCCTCAACATCTCCGCTGCTGAAAACTTGGCAAACAACGGCATCGGATCTGCATCTTTAAAAATGGCCGCAAGCTTAACGTCCAGAACCGGTCTGCCCGTAGTGGTGAGAAGCCAAGGCCACTATCTCGAGCTCATTGAAGGGCGCCAGGTCCTTGACGCCTGCGGTGGAGCAGGCGTTACATGTATCGGCCACGGAAATTCAGAAGTCCTCTCGGCAATGAGCGCCGAAGCCAGCAATCTTACCTACATTCCATGGGCTTTCTTCGACAATCAGAGCACCATTGATCTTCAAGACTGGCTTATTCAAAGCACTGGAGGCGAGATGACCAAGGTCTATCTTCAATCTTCGGGTATGTCTCAGCTCTGACAAGCATCTCGTAATTCTATATCTAACACGCATACCCACCAGGCTCCGAGGCCGTAGAGGCAGCCATCAAGTTAGCCCGCGAGTACTTCGTGTGGAAAGGCGAGCCCCAGAGGATCTCTTTCATAGCCCGCGAGGATTCCTACCATGGAATCACCATCGGTTCCCTCTCCGTTTCTGGCCATCGAGGGAGGAGGGCGAATTTTGAAGACATCCTTCTCCCAAATGTCCACCGCATCCCGGCCTGCAACGCCTACCGGCAAAAGCTTTCTGACGAGTCCGACGAAGCGTTCGTCACCCGAAAAGCCGCCGAGCTCGAAGCGGCATTCCAGGCCGCCGGCACAGACACCATCGCAGCCTTCATCGCCGAGCCCGTTGTCGGCGCAGCGCTCGGGTGCGTGCCGTCGCCGCCGGGCTACTTCAAGGCCATGAAGGCCGTATGCGAACAGCACGGCGCGCTCCTCATTCTCGACGAGGTCATGTGCGGGATGGGGCGTACGGGTACCCTACACGCGTGGGAGCAGGAGGGCGTCGTGCCGGACATCCAATGCATCGGAAAGGGCCTCGCAGGCGGGTACCAGGCGTGCTCGGCGGTGCTGGCTAGCGCGCAGGTCGTCGGCGTCATGAACAAGGCCAAGGCGGCCTTCACGCACGGCCACACGTTCGGCAATCATGCTGTCGTGTCTGCCGCCGCGCTCGCCGTACAGGGAATCATCTCGCGGGAGGGCCTCGTGGCTAACACCCGGGAGCAGGGTGGGTATCTCGAGGCCGCGCTGCGGCAACGGCTTGGCTGCCACCCGCAGGTTGGGGATATCCGCGGCAGGGGCCTGTTCTGGGGGGTTGAGTTTGTGCGGGACAAGGCCTCCAGGGAGCCGTTCGACCCTGCCCTCCTGGTCGCGAAGCTGGTGCACGAGAAGGCGATGGCGGGCGGGAAGAAGGGCGGGCCGATGATGATCTACCATGGCCAGGGCTGCGCTGGCAACAAAAGGGGCGATCATGTCATGATCATGCCGGCGTATAACGTTGATGCGCGGATGGTCGATGTGATTGTCCAGAGGCTTGGGAACGCCGTGGATGCGGCGTTTGAGGAACTTGCGAGGAGAGGATTGACTTGGTAAGGTGGGGGGCACAGGGTATTTGCTGTTGTCTTTGACAACATACCTTGAGATGAGATACAACTCTCGTCTGTGTTCAAGTTTGGCTCATAACTCAGCTTTTCTTCACACTGACACTGGAAGGTAACCGAACGAGGTCTTCGGAAATTATGGGCAGACGTAAGCTAATTGCGGTCACAAAGTCCAAAGTCGTGATAAATGCCTTATGGCCTCGTCCTGGGCTAGGATGATACTCAGCAGCAGTGGGGCATCTTCTCGGTCCCGTCACCGAGGGACTAGGAGTAATTGCTATATTAAGGTTTATTCTTTTGACACTAACATTATTATCAACGACTGAAGAACTGCAATACCAACAAAATAGCGGCGTCGATGCAGGTTTGGATAATAAGACTCTCATTCGCTTAGGACGGTATGTATCCTGATTTGAACCACATCACGAAGTAATCGTTTGGTCTCGCCCGGTTGCCGAAAACTTGCTGGGGCGTCAGGTATGAGAAATACGACGGATCGCGAGCCTTCTCCTGCATCACGAAATCGCGCGCCGCCTCCGTGACGCTGATGCCAATGACCGTATACTGGCACGGCCTGTAATGCGCAGTGACGCTGTTCATCCGGCCGGCCTCCACCTCCATCCTCTTGGCAAACGCCGGGATAAGCTGCCCCGTCGAGTTCGGGCCCCGGTACGCGTTACGGACCACGACCTGATTTGACGAGTTGAGCCTGCAGTCCTGATTGACGCTCTCACACTTGAGCTCGATCATGTGCCGGGTGCGGGTCGTGGGACGGTTCGGCACCGCGTGGCTGGTCCCGACGAGCAGGTCCACGGCGTCACGGTCGTTGTTGTAGACGTGCTGCTCCCGCTCCACCGTCTCGACGCTCGAGAAGCCCAATAAGCTTGGATTCCCCTCCAGGCACAGGGCGAGCTCGACTTGCAGCCAGCCTTCCCAGCCGCCCTTCATGTTGAAGGCACGTTCGATCTCTGCGCGCTTGCCTTGGGCCCATGTGAAGATCTTAGTGATGGAGTTGATGTCGTATATGAGGCCTGTTGGGGCCGGACTGCTGGTGTTTGCCATGTTTTAATGGCGGGATGCAGGTGTGGGTATCGATGAACAAGCACTGATATACAACTGGACGCGAAAGCGTAGGAGGTTGTTCCGTCCTCCAAACTCGTGGCTGTGGATCTCGACTTGCAAAGACGATACAAATAAATTCGCATTCGGATGTCCTATCTATTCCTTGTCAAGCCTTTACATCTCGGTAATAGCTTTGGGAGGATCAACGGTCTGGTGCATTGGCTGAGCGTCTCAGTCAGCGACATGCCTTGAGGGTAAGCACTATCGCCTATGTAAGAATTATCAAGTCTCAAATGGGAGTCCTCTGACTGCAGGTCTAAGTGATTTGAAAGTTCGGGGTCGTGGATTGGCAGTCGAGCTTCCTGAAGCTGTAGATCGCAGCTTAATCCAATCGTTCTCAACTGGCACTTCCCGGCTGAGATGTTCAGCCTTCCTCTGATTGACTCTCAGCCTTACCTTTGAAGCCAGAATGGATACTGCAGAGCCTCGATAGTCTGAGCGGACATCCTCATTCTCCCGTCCGATGACCAGTCCCGAGTCTCGGACATGTAAGTCCCAAGGACGGCCACGGCAGCACTTAAGTAAGAGACAAAGGACACATTAGTAAACAACAAAAGTCGATTTGGATGTGTGCAAAGGCAAACACTGTGTGTCGCCACTGGTCCTTATTGTGACCCATAGTTTCTGCTGAGACCGACGGTTTAATCTTTTTGGTCCAGAGCAATTCGAAGATAGTTTCTCAATTACAGTACAGCTGCCCTCTTTGAGGGTCTATTGCCGGGCGAAGAGCTTTTGCCAGCCACTACGGAATCTGAACATGCCATGACAAGACCCAACATCAACATCCAGAGTACCATCCTCCCTCTTTGGGATTACCGACTCATCAAACGGGGTCGAGAAGAGCCGCGTGATCGGGCACGAGGCGCGAGGTACGGTAGCCTAGGGAGTCCCACGCCCCCACGCAGGGACACTCACGTCTGTATGCGTATTGAGTGACATGCGGTCGGTCGACCCGATGATTTCCTCGAGACCGAGCCCTGCGCAAAGGTTCACCATCTGGGAAGCATGCGTTTCTCACCAGGATTCTCGTGTGCAGTTCACCTCGCGCTATCACCTGTGTTCAACAGAGGCTAGATCTTGAGCAATCTCCACCATTGAGTCCTGACGTTGTGGCCCCGGGCGTATTGACAGGCTCCGTCGGTCCTGCTGCATGCATGCGACCAGCCGAGACAGCTGCAGTGCATCCTATATGGACCTTGCTGCAGCCTGACCGTTGTTACCACACCCAACCTGTCAACATCCTGTTATGCATAGAGTCCCGCGTGATCTGCACTTTCAACACGCAACAGGACTGTTGTATGGTCCCAGAAAGGCACGGTACCCCGCAATTTGGCTGCGTGGCTCGTGTCTATCGGGGCCGCGATCGATGTCGACGGCCTCCTGCCCGGCGATCCACCGAGCAAGCGACGTGTTGCCTGTCCAGGACCGCCGTTGCCCGTCCTAGCAGCATCCAGTAGTTCCCTTGACATTAGTCATCCTCTCCGCTGTCGCTGCCGCTCGACCAGCCCTCGTGATACTCGTCAGCCATCTCGGCGAGCTCGTTGCTCAGCGTCTCCCGGTCCTCCACGCCGATGAGCCTCGTCACCGTCGACCTCAGCGATTTCAGCCGACCAGACAGCGCTGCATCCGTGGACAGCGATGTCGTCATCGCCGCATTGCTCTTTAGCTCCTCGCCTTTCTCGTCTCTGAAGATGTGCGGGAAGCTATCCGGTAGTGGGTAGCTCAGCGTGGTTCGGTACCTAGGTTTCGGGTGCGGTCAGTTTCCAACCAATTCATTGCCGAAAGTTCAAGCACTGAAGTTAAAGGCCAGGGGTGGAGGGAACACGGACTTTCTGCTTATGGCTTCACGCGGCCCTCGGCGTCGCGTCCTGTCGTCCTCCTCGTCACTATCGCCTTCCTCCTCATCATCACCCGCGCGCTCCCCTCTGCTCGCCAGCACCTGGCTGAAAATCTTTGGCGCGCGGTGGTATCCGTTCTGCTGCTTCTGACCATCGCCCAAGTCATCTGCTGGACGGAGGTCTAGATCAAGACGTAGCCCGTCTTTGGGCTCATCGCCCACCTCCTCGCTACGGGGCACCTCGGTCGTCTCGGAGAAGCTCATCTGCAGGTTGGCCACCGTCTGCTTGCCATGCAGGTTTAGCAAGTCAGTCATGTTCCCGAGGGAGTCCCTATTTGTAGCGTCTTTGAGGCGAGAGGGGAGTGTAGCGGACTCTATGGCTGCAGACAGGAGCGCGGAGGTATGCCATGACGAATTGGTGTCCAGCGAGAGGACTTTGCGGAGCCGTGGCGAGAGCGAAGATGGAATTGCTATGGGAACAAGGAGCGAGGCTTGTTTGTAAATCTCTGTGAGCGACTTGGCCTTGTTGACTAGCCGGAGAAGTCGTTTGTCCTAAAGACGTGAGCGTCAGTAAAATGAAAATCTGTTATTGGATATCGCATATCATGTTTATTGTGCTTACCCTGCTCACGCCCTGGAATCCCTCTTGTAGGCCCCAAACCCAGATAGTAGTCTTTCCGTACTCATCCCTCAGCCTCTCGATGTATCGAGACGCGAATCCACCCCACGCGTCATCCACAGTCGTCATGATCTGGATCCCTTGCATGTGATCTGCCTCCTCGGCGAACGGCCTCAGATCCCTGTCGACAATGTCGTGTTCCTTGTCCAGATTCGCAAACAGCTCCTCACCCGAGTCCCACCTCTCGAATGGCGCGATGCTCGAGTTCAAGTCATACTCGTTTAGCTGGACGATGCTCCGGGGGTGGTAAAACACGCGGTTGAAGTCGGACCAGTAGCGGACCGATTCGGTCGTCAGCTGGGGGGGCTCGAGGCCTGCGTCCAGAGACTGCTGGTACGCGCTGGGCTCGATCGGCTCGGCCTTTTGAACCACCGCCTGACCATTCCATAAGGACGAGGACTGTGCTGGATCGTCGTCCTGGATGTCATAAAGGGCGTTGATCCTCTTCAGAGAGCCGAAGCCACCCTTCAAGTCGTAGATGACGGTCCGAGGCATAAAAGTCTCGGAGCCGTCGGCACCGAGCCCGGGGCGCCAATGCACATCATGATCTATGGCAGACTCTTCATTTTCGGCATACGTGAAATATGATTCCTGACCAGTGGTCAGCCACCTTGAAATATGTTTCGTTCATCGTTGAGTCCATACCTGGGTATTCCAGAAATGCGTGGCCAGGTAGTTACTCTGCTGGCCCAGCTGCAGGGTAATTATCTCATGCATCGTGTATGTTACCGATAAGTCCCTCTCAAAAGATGAGCCGGTGGCCCCTCACTATGATCGCTATCTTTGCGCCAGGTGAGGTCGTGACAAACTCAGAGCTGCACAACCCGCACCCTGGCCTTGTGCAGCCGTTCACAGAATTATGCAACCTCTTCCCGCCCAGCCAACGGACGGGATGACGCACATGGCAGACAAGGGTAGCTCCATCTTATCTGAAAGAAATGTGGAGGCAGAACAGCAGGGTCCAACTTCCAATCTCGAAGGTGGCATATATGATTCCCCTTTTCAAGCCCGCCCTCACCCGTCAATTCGCTTATGACAGCATAATTATTTCCACCACGACACTCGCTACCTCTCTAGCACTATAGCATAATTCTTGGCACGCCCAATACCTAGCCAAGATGGCACCACCAACCCTGACAGAATTGTTCACAAAAGAGTTCCAATCCTTCAAGTCCCCACCGCCAAAAGAGACCGCGCCAGTCCCAAAAGTCGGCGACCCAGCACCGTCGCATGACAAGATCAAGCTCCCAGACAAGCCCACAATAGTCGTCTTCTTGCGGCACTGCGGTTGCCCATGTAAGCCATCCATCCATTCATCGAAACCTCTCTCAGCTCACCACCCAAACCATCTAACCACACCGACCCGCAAACAGTCGCCGAGAAGACCTTCCGCAACCTAACCGCCTTTTCCATCAAGCACCACCCGCAGATCCACTGCATAGCCGTGTCGCACAGCAACGACGCCGCGACGACCGACTGGGTGGAGCACGTGGGCGGCGCGTGGGAGGTGGACGTGGTGGTGGACGAGGAGCGCGAGGCGTACGCGGCGTGGGGCCTGGGCCTGTCGTCCTACTGGCACGCCATCGGGCCCTTCTCCATCTACAGCGCCGTGCAGCTCGGCAAGACCGAGGGCATCTGGAACCGGACCACCGAGAGCGGCACGCGCTGGCAGATGTCCGGCGCCTTTGCCACGGACAGGAAGGGCGTGGTGCGCTGGGTCAGCATCGCGCGCTCCGCGAGCGAGTTGCCGGACTTTGACGCCGCGCTTAAGGCGCTGATCGAGGTGCCTACGGAGGCTTCGTGAGGGGGATATTTCATGGCAGGATGAGAGGGCGAGAGGACGAAGGGACGAGATCATATCTAGGAACGGGGAATCTGGATGATTGGGTGGGCGTATGCCATCTTTTTTAGCACGTAAATTTGATTTTTGGGACGAGCATGTCTACTTTGGCGTTGAGGGACAGCAGCAGCTGGGCGAACGGCAGGCATCCTTGGTTTTGGGGACACATCATAGCATCTCTCGCGCAATTTACTGTTGTTGAATCTTCACGTCGTCGCAGGACCCACACTGCTGAATAGGACACGTTGAACACTTTAGACCGTGTTCGGATGATTAGCGAGGCACGTATGCCTCTGAAATGTAGCTTTATTGCGCTGGTCCATTCTATTCTATCATACATAGCCAGCAAAGTAAAGCCTGCGCCGGAGGAGGGCCTATTTTTCCTGGTCTGGTCCTCACAACTCTGCCTCCATTTTGTCGTTGTTGAGATGTCTTCTACGTCTATTCCAAACAAGCTGACGAGATGGCCCAAGGTTGCAGGGCTCATTCCCATCGCAGACTCCCCCAAATGAATCATACCTCGCGTCAGTCTGCAATTCCTGGATATTTTAGAAGAATGCGATTGTGAATAGCGGTCGCAGTAGGGCAGTATCGGGTATGCAGCCAGCATGGGCCGGCATGAGCTGGCAAGCCAGCTGTCTGTCTGATATTTTTTTGATGGTGGCCTTCCCTGCATGAGAAAGATCAGTGCAACAAAGCATGTCGATAACGTTAGGAAATCAAAGCTCAACCAGCGCTGACCGTCGAAGTCTGTTGTCGTTTGGCTGAATCTATGGCGTCCTGGGAAACAGTTAGTGACAAAGAAGGCCGACATGCAGATGATAACTTTTTCAAGGCCCGTCGACCCGTATTCTTTTTCGGAAATGAGCCATCCCGTCGTCACGACATACTTGAGTGGGCGCCTTTCGTTTGGTTCCGTTTGGGGCCTGCGAAGCCTTCTTTTTAGGTTTCGCAGGTTTGATCTCGCCGGGCTCGAAAACGTCGTCGGGCAGGTTGCAGCTACAACATCCACAAGTCAGCTCACACACACAAAACGGGTTGGTTTCGGATCTTGTCTTGCTGGACGTACTTTCGGACGTGCTGTACACTGATGCCACAACAGTGTTGAAGCTCGCTCTCCCATTTATCCCAGTTGTAAAGGATGCCCTTGAAATCGTTGACTTCGAAAGACAAGTCGAGTTGTTTCGCTCCTGTTTTGTCAATCCGCCTGGTGTTAAGACACATACACGTTTCGGAAGTAGGGAGGCCGCAATGCTATGTCACCGACGTTTTAGTCGCGACCCAGGGGCGAGAGCTATGACTTACCTTCGCGTAGTTTGATACCGATGTAGTGAGTTGAGGTAAAAACGTCCTTGGGGCCCTCGGAGTCATCTTCATCCGTTTTGGCTTCGGCATCCTTGACTTCGGCAGTATTACCGCCCTCTTCTTTTGCTACATCATTGCCTGACTCTGCCTTGAGCTTGTCGTCAGTGTCATCCCCGTCCTTCACAATGTAATCAAAACTTCCGTCGAGAATCGCGTTCCACTCATCCATGCCATGCTTGGTCTTGTGCTTGCGCTCGTAGCCCTTGTTGAAGGGGCGCGCGAGCTCGACAGAAGCGTGCCGCTCCAGATTCTGCACCAAGAGACGGATTTTGGACTCCACGAAGCCTCCCCAAATCTTGCTATTCTCCTTGGTCGTGCTGGCTGCATTGACCATGATGTAATACTTGTAATCCTGGGTGAAGAACGTGTGCTTGACGAAAAGTGACTTCCAAGGCAATTTCCCGACCATGATCTGGTCCACGACTTGGGCAAAATCCTCTAACTCCTTCTGTATGATAGTCTTGCTCGAATGTGTGATATTGAAAGTCGAGCACATGGATGGATAAGCCGGAGTGATGATGGGCATGAGATGGAAGGAGTCTCCCTTGTAGACCTATCCCGATTTCAGTCAGTAGAGGAGAGATGACCAAGGTTATGACGAATCGGCGGTAAGATCATACCTGTGGATTCCACACCCGGACCTGTAGAGGACCCTCCTCGACCTTCTTCAGTAAAACGGGCTGAGGCCACGGCCAGCGCTGCATTATGTGGAAGAATTTGTTGACCAAGACAGCGCCATTCGCCTTTGGATATAACTGACAAACTCTGGCCACCAGCATCGCCCAGGCCACACCTCCGGGGAAGCCCATGATGTTGGCGTAGATGGCACGCTTCTGCGCCCACAGCTTGATGGCTCGTAGCGCTAGTCGGAAAGACGTCTTCTCGGGCACCAGCTTGAGGATGTCATCCGTGACTCTTGTACCGTTCAGGGACCGCAGCTCAGCATCGTCCAAGCCGCGCAGCAAGTTGTTGTCCAGCAAGTCCCAGGGCGTAGACAGGGGTGGTATTTCGGTGATGGTAGCGATTCTGGAGAAGATTAGATCTATACTGATGCCAGAGTACTCAAACTTGATGATGGGCACGAAAGCATCTGTGACTGCGGTGAGGTCCTCGATTGATCCAGGGGGCGCCATCTCGTTGAGCAAACCTGGGAAGTGTTCGAAGAAGTCTTCTCGGGTGACGTATTTGGGTGCGACGACGAGGGTATCGATATCGGAGCCCGGACCGAAGACTCCCAGGCGATAACTTCCGTAGGTGAAGACACGGCCCCTGGCAGACTTCACGATGGCTGCATTCTCGGAGTGCCGCTGCTGGGCAACGCGTTGCACGAAGACATCGGCGATGGATTGGATCGATTTAAGGACTATCTCCCTGCGGCAGACATGTGATGTCAGAGACGATTGCATGTGATAGGAGAGATTGAACCAAGCTGGGAGCTGCCGGCGTCGGCGTCGTGACCGTTGGCGTGGACGCGGTCGTGCTGTGCTGCGCGTGTGCCTACCTCTTCTGCGTCTCGGTCGCATGCTCGTAGGTGTTCTGTGCCTTGAGCTCAGCGAACAAGGCATCGTTTGCGCGCTTCTCGGCCTCTGTCGGCAGTAACGTCGAGATAGGCGGCGTCACGCCCCACTGGTTTTCGGCTGCCATTATGGCGTCGAGGTGCTTGCGGAGGATGCGATGTCAGGGCAGCCGCGAAGTCGTTGCTGGGCAAGTCTGTCGATGTCTCTTCGTCCAGGCTGCTGGCTGCGCAAGTTCGACCTTGGAACCTTGGGAAGGTGAGACGACTCAATACTGGTTAGCGCTGGGCGGCGGTGGGGCGGCTTCCAGGTTGGTTGCAGGGGTCCTGTGGCCTGACTAGCACCACCCGCGGCTGCATTAGCTGGTGGTTTACAGCACCGTCCACAAATTCTTTGTGATGACTTCACACACTGGATTGCAGTCTTTGTCAAAGTGATAATCCCAACCAGTTCTAGGATTTACTTCTGATCCTGGTTCTGATCTGTGATATTGATTAAAGCCGCGATTTCGTATCTATGCTAACAAACACACGGCAGTGGAGAGTTTGTCCATCGCCTCCAGAAGGAGGACAGCCCGCTGGACCACTAGGTATCTCCTAGCCTACATTCCATGGCCACAGCTGTTCCCTTTCTGCCTCGCCCATTGGGGTACTCCAGCGTCACCCACCAACTTCAACTCACTTTTCAGCACCCCAGAAAGCAGACCACTGGTCGACAGCCCATCCAACGGCCGGCCAGTCCTGCCCGGAGAACCACATCGCCGCGCCACCAAGGATCCCCACGCCCCCGAGAACCTCGAGTGCAATCCAACCATTCAGTTTCACCCTCGCAGCCACGCGAAGCAGCCCAAGCGGGTCCTGAGTCTGCGTGGTCGAAGTGCTGTAGCTGCGCCCGCGCCCAAGTCTGCGTCTCGTCTTCTCGCTCGGCCGGGAACCGCTGCGGTCCCGCTCTGCGAACGGGACAAGCTCCCCGTCCTGCACACATTCGTGTAGCTTCTCAGTCAGCCAGATGGCCCTCTCTCCACGCGCAAGTGCGTCATATTGGGCCCGCTCGTTTGCCAGGCTTCTCTGCAATTCGGATGCCCAGTTGGCAAGGCGTATCTGAGCCAGCCGCTCTTCTCTTTGCGTGTGGTCGGCGATCCGGGCGAGCGAGTACTGCGACGTTGCTCCCACAGGCAAGGACAAAGGCCCCGCAGCTACCAACGGCATGGACGAGTTGGCTGGCAAGCCCATCGGTTTGTACAGCGCCCTTGGCCTAGACGAATCGCCCGAGTTCTTCCACTGGATAAACTTCTTGGCGGCAGCATGCCTCAGCCACGATGCTCCATACTCGCAAAACACCTGGTTCACCACAGTTGCGAGCTCTGATGACATTAGAGGCTGCACATAGTCCGGGCTCATCAATAGACTTGCGTCCATGATGTCGTGGTCTGATCCTGGGGTGCTTGAGACAGCATACGGATATCTCGGTTCGATATCACTAAAAATTCCCGACGAAGACACTGAGAATGAGAATGGTCGCACTCCAGCCTCCATCAGCTCGCTCCTGATCTGAGCTTTGCTCTGCGCAACTTTCTCAGGAGTCATGTTGTCTGCCTTGGCCACAAGTGGTATAACGTTCGTTAGGGATCCTAACAGTTGCAGGTACTTGATGTCGGCCGCTTTCAGCTCTGTTCTATGGTGTCAGCCAGTATCACGTTAGCAGCTTGGAGAGCAACTTGCTGTTGTGTATAAGGTAAAAGACCACATCAACCTGACTGCCTCCATCGCCGCCGAGCATATTCAATATTTCAGCGTCGGGCGACTCGTTTGACCGTACTCTTTCGAAGTGCGATTCGACATAACGAATTACGGGAGTAATGTTCTCCATGCTCTGGTCTAGGTTAGCACACCACTTCCCTGTCTAATCCTCCTCGGTCCTCTCCCTCAGGGGATCTTTCGACTCACAGAAGAACCGTCACTATAACCTGGGGTATCAATAAAGCAAATGTTCCTATCTAAGATGGTATCATCGACACTCTTTCGGCGTTTAAGAAGTTGAAAATCGTCCAGATCCGACCACCACTCTGGATACGGTTTTGTGCTCGCAAATATTTCTGATATCTCGGTTGTCCGGGTATTATTCTTTGAGGCCTTGGATTTCCCACGTCGGGCACCCGATTGCAGGCCGACCAATGCTGTAGACTGGGGCGTTATTGGGTCGACATGGACAATGTGTTCGCAAGATTGGACAAGAGCTTTAATGAGCGACGTCTTGCCAACGCCTGTTGTCAAAGGCCTGTCAGCAAGGGGTTGCATATCCGGCTGTTACATCTCTATACGCACCAGAGTCTCCAGCGACGAGGACCTTGAGCCTCCCTATCCGCCTCCCTCCGTCGGTAAATGGCCGCCGGCTAGGCATCTTGATAGAGGGCATAACAAGCTGGGGAGCACTGCCGCTGTCCATCATTTCCGAAGCTTCCATTGGCTCCAAATCCTGGCTCATGCTGAGAGCCTGGCTTGCGATCTCCTCGGAGAACGAAGCACTCATCGCGTCGCTGATGGCCGAGGGCGATCCTGGTGTGGCCAGCATTAAGGGGGTAATCGGCTGCGAGAGGTTACTCGTGGAGCCTGGCAGGTTGAGCCTGCTCGGGGCAATGTCAGACATCAGGGAAATATCGTCAGCATCTGCAGGATCCGAGGTCGAGATCGATTCACGGTCACTGTGTGCGGTGTGCTTGGCTGGGTTGGCGGACTCCGGGTCGGCCGACCCCGCCTTGCGATGATCACGACCACCGGTAGTGAAGCTCGTAGTGAAGCTCGCCAGGGACTGCTGCAGGGCGGCATCGACAGCGTCCTCGCCGCCGATGAAATACGAGGTTATCTGCTGCTGGCCGGAGGCGGGGTGATGGAATGCTGTCGGGGGCTCGTTATCAGCCCCGCGCGGGTTCCGTCGCGGCGGCGGTCCATCGCCTGGGAACGGTCGCATCGTGAAGTGAGCGGGGCCACATGTAAGTGCAATAACAAGTTAGGAGAGGCACCGGGTACACAGCGTCACCGAACGACGATGTACGATGGGATCAACGGGAGTTATCATGGGATATCAAGCGTGCTGCTCGTTTCGCTGCTGCTGCTGCCTATGTGGACTTGACTTGACGTCTGTGGAGTGAATTGTATGACTAGGTTGGACTCAGGGTGACTAGCCGTCTCGTAGCGCCACGTATGGTAGGTATTGCTCCTGGGCGGTGATACGGTCTGGTCTGTTAGGCTATGAGGTGAAGCAAGCTAGGGAAGTGTGATAGGGAGGCGGTTCAAGACGAGCGAGGGAGTCGAGGAGGGCCCGCAGCGGGTGATGACATATCGAAATAACCCCGCGTTGGCGTACCCCGACCCCCAATTCCCCCCCACCTTGACCTTAGGCATATGGAAATCATGCCAATCTGGCATGATGGATGCCATGTACTCCCCTACCATCCAACCCATGCTTGGAGATGCCGATAAGCGACTGAGTGAATCTTTTATGTGAAACACATATAGTTCATCACAACTTTCGATCAAGACATCATACCACACCACGCCACGAGGACGCCCAGGTCGTCCAAGGGGTAACTCCAACCACCAAAGCTTCATCCAAATAGGTAGGTAATCTGGGCTCACTTGCGGGTAGGCACAGGCAGTACGCATCGCAGCCCCAGAAAAGATAAGATAAGAAAAGGGGTCTCCTTCACCGAGCTTGGCCTGGAAACTCCGAGTAGAGAATTCGGCGAGCATTCCGGCCAGATCGTCCACTTGGACACGTCCCTTCCCGCGATCGGAGGAGCTGGCGGTCAGGGAATGTGCTCTGCGAGGAAAAGGGGCAGAGAAGTTTACTCCTGGGCAGAGGAGCTGCTGAGAGCTTCCGTCGCGCCGTCTCCTGGGCGGTAGGCAACAAGCCCGAAGACATCAAATACTGATAGTTATACCCTCGTGCTCCTGGAGTACAGATGTGCGGATAGAGTTTGGGACGCCCCGGGGGGTAGATAAAGTGGCGAATACCGTATTCAAACCTACGTACGAACTCCATGCAAGGTACCCAATGAGGGAGGTATCTACTATATGCTCCAGCCCAAATACTCCGTGACCAACAACATCCCATCATGACATATCATACACATCGGTGAGCGAAAGGCCCAAACCCCAGTCTAGTTACGAGCATGTCTATGCTCCCTACCCAACACCCCCCGCCCCACCCTGCCCGGTGTCCCACGTACCGCCGCCCCCGCCGCCCCCGGCGTCGTTGATCATCATCCAGCTATCGTCATCCAGGGCGGCACCGAAGCCGCCGCCCTGGATGGCCGCCGTGACCTGGGAGAACAAGACAGCCGGGTCCTGCGCCGGGTCCCCGGATCCATCCCACGCATTCAGGCTCTGGAAGAAATTCATATCCACAGAATCTGTTGCGAAGGGATTGGCCATCTCCTGAGCCCCTGGCAACGTCGCCGCGGCCGTGGTTGCGGATATAGCCCCCTGCTGGCCCGCGCCCGCCGTCCTGGGGCTGACGCCCGAGCTGGGCTGTGTCGTCGGCGTCGAGGCGCTGTTGGCCGCGGCGGACGGCGACGAGCCCGCCGATGAGCCACCGCGGTGCGGGAGCCGGAACTGCGCGGCGTTGGCGGGGCGGCCGGCCGGCGACTTCTCCTCGACCGAGGCCGACGACAGCGACGAGCCCCGGGTCGTGGCATCCGAGGAGGACGAGATGACCTCGGCGGCCTGCGTCGGCTGGAACCAGAGCGAGGGAGTGAAGTCCTGCGGCGCGGAGGTCGGCTCTGGAGAGATGGCTATGCGCTTGCGCTTGTTTGCGTTGCCAGTGTCTTGTCCTTCCCGGCGGCCGGGCACTTCGAGGTCCCAGTGTAGGACCTGTCTGATTTGGTTCTCCATGGATTGGATGGTGGCCGGGTTGCTCAAGGGTAATCTTCCGGGCAGAGGTGGTTGTATGTCTGCGCTTCTTGAGAACTTGGATCTGGCGAAAAGGGGTATGTTGTTGCCGCACGCCGTTACTATCTTGGTCGTGTCAGGCAAATCAATTCGAGGTATGCGGACGAGGCCGATAAGCCCGGCTCGTTGGAGATCGAGGATGGCCTGGGTGAGGAACGACCTGGTGATTATGTGCTCTTTCCCGATGGCATTCATTGCTACCAAGAGGAACTCAAGGTTTGCGGTGTGGCTCGGTTGCATTCCCTCGTCCTGTGCCATGGTAGTGTAAACTGAACTCGCAACGTAGAGAGCGAGAGCGACGAGTGGACTCCTATACCCCGCGTTTGAATGGCTGGTCACTTTGACGATAGTGACAATCTCTTGAGCAGCTGTCAAGACGCGAGTCTTGCTTGTCTGCTTGACATGGTCGGGCAGGTCGTGCTCCTTTGTCATCTCATAGGCACTGTTATGGAGACAGATAATCGACGCGTGTAGGTTGAGATTCGTGTGAACAGCAACAGGGTCTCGCATACTGTTAGGTAGCCGGAAACGCTCTGGGAGGAACATGAAGGCGCTAGAGAGTATGTTGTCAAGCTCCCGATGTTTGTTCCAGTACCTCCCGTAGTCGAAGTCGTCGCGGCCGTCATCGGGCTTGGAGCGGTGAACATGCTTGAGAATCTGGTTGAAAATGTGGCAGATGACTGCAGCTCCGGCGAAAGATGAATATGATGAGCCTGTAAACACCTCTTCGATCCGGCAGGTCTTCTCTTCCGTGCAACTGTTAAACGACTCCTCAGAGCTGGGCAAGTGGGTTGTGACCTGTACAAATCTTAGTTTGGAAGTCTTGATACCGAAGATCACGCACCGGTTGTACTAACCTCGCTCATGTCGATCAGACTTGGCCATCCTGTACTAATGGAAGCATGAGAATCAACACAGAATGCGCCCCAGAACACTCGCCTCCTTTCCTCCAGTTCGGTCCAGTCTCTTGGAGGGGCAATTGTAGGTGCCATTTCTGCCGCCGCATTGGGGTCATCCAGTCGATGCAAGCCCATCATGTGGATCAGCTTGATACAGCGGGCGGTACTCATGGCCGCTCGAGTGAACCACATGCAGCGAGCCTCATCTGTAGCGATGAGTGCCCAAGCCTGCGCGTGAGCCACCGTGATGAAGTGCTCACCCTCGCCCCTCAGCTCGTCCTCCTCGAGGTAGTGACGAGCACGACGGTGGAATGCATCGTGGTATGCCGAATACTTCTCGTGGCCATTTGAAGCCATCGTCCAGACGGCATATATGAGCGCCATCGGCGGGCGGAGATGTAATCCAGAATGATAGGCTTGCATGTACCGGCCAGGGTGGATAATGGGATTCAACGGGTGCTGCTTCATAAAGAAGGTCCTATGCAGGTCTTCAATCATTTCCGTCGGAGGCAGGGCCTCAAACAGCCCCAGGCCGAGCAGCTCGTTTCGCGACGCACCCGCATTGTCTGCCCTGGGCGGTCTTTGGCTCGCACCCGACAATAAGTTATCAAAGTAGGCAAACGGTCCAGACCCTCGGTCACTGCCACTGGGAACCCCATTCGCGCCTTGCCCGGGAACTCCGCCGGTATAATCCCAGCTGAAGGGATTATCTGCAACGTCAGGAACTGATGAGTGCCTTGAGCCTTGGTCCTGGGCGGATGAGCCTTGAGCAGGCGACACGTTCTGTGGAGCGGCCTCAGAGGAGGAAGCACCAGCCTTGGGCTTGCTGGGCGCGTCTTTCAGTAAGACCTCGACTTGTGCTGTGATGAGAGTCTCAGTCAAATCCGTTTGAACACTTCCTTGCTGAAGGCTCCTCCAGTCACAAAGACGTACCCAGGCGCTCCTCGAGCTCCTTCACGTTTCTCCGCTTGAAAGCGGGCTTCCTCCTCGATTCCGGATACGAGCACTCCGACTTCACTTTGGTGCACCTTGTGCACGCCGGTTTTATCCGATCGCATTTCAACTTCCGGGCCCGGCACGAGACACAGGCCAGAGCCTCGAGCCCGGTATTGCCTCCGGAATCCGGGTCCGGCGCCGCGTCGGCTGACGGCAGATCTTCGCTCGACATTATGGGCCAATATACTTCACGATCATGAGGGCTTCAAGCTCCAAGACATACAAACAACCAAGTCAATGAGCGCCTCAATTGCCAGAACAGCACTGTGCATGGCCTGATTAAGCCAGGTACGTGGTTTCACTGCTACAAGACTGCTATCTGCATGTATCTCACCCCCTTGATGGCAGGCATTTTTCCAAGTGCACCTCGGACAACTCAGACGGCCTGACTTTGCGCCGAGCACCGGCGGCTGGAGGCTGACCTGGTGACGTCATAGACTTGAGCTTCTCTGCAACCTCGAGGCTGACTCTTGGCGGCTGCCTTCAGAGTGTGCTGTGTACTGAGTCGGCTGCAAGGCTGCGAGAGGTTCAATCCTCGGACTCGGGCAGTCGGACGAAGGACAGGATCGCATCCTCCGACCTTTATCTGAGGGTCTCTTATCCTTCCTGACACGCGGAGAATAAAAGGCTCAAAAGTAAAAAATGGCCATGAGGTCATGGGCATGAGCATGAGCATGCGCTCAAAGCATGTTCTCCAATTATAGCCAGCGCCGTCTCTTCGTGACTGCCGGGGGTGGGCGGAATTACCCGCATTCCATCGGTCTCGGATCCGAGAATATCTATCAAAATTCTCCCTTGCATTCAGCCGGGTCGGAGACCACGCCGTCAACATCTAGCCCCCATTCTCCCCGCCCTCTACCGGAATTCAAATACGGATGTCAAATTAAACAACAAATGTGAAAATTTGTATCCCTCCCACAATTCGGAAGTCCACCGAGGATTGCGTTCGAGCCACGAGGCTATGCCCGAAACGTTGTTGCGCAAAAGTCCCTTGGTCCAAACGCGGCGGACTCGGGGCTGCATCAAGCCCAGTCGAGGCAAGGCGTGCAATGTTAGCGACTCCCGGAATTCCCGGACATAGCATCGGGTGCCGTATCCGGCGAACCAAGATATGGGGTCCGGGTCTGATCCCCACGCGAGCCGCATGGACGACGCGCCGAGGACACGAGCCCGTGTCGAGACGCTCTGACGGACAGAAGAGCAGGCTAACAAACCGCTAATGGTCCGGGCTGTCAGCTGCGGCGCGTCAAATGGTTCGCGCCAGCAATGCACGGCTCAGTAGTAGCCAACCCAACCAGCCGGGCCGCGGAGATTGTAAAACAGAAGCTGAAAGACGGACGGGGCTTTTTGTTGCTGGGACGACCCGCAGAGGCGGGAGTCTGAGACTCGTGGCGCACGTGTCAGCACATCATGGGCACTGTTCAAGGTGTGTCTGTCTCTCCTGCCCGTCGTGCTTCCTCAGGTCTCAGATCCAGCTGAGACAGCCGCCCCCGGGACGTCGAGCCCTGTGTGATGATGGGGGCACTCGAGACAAGACACGGGCGTCTCTTGACCGCTTCTCCGTGGCACCCCCCTCTGCCCATCGTGTTTGACGGTCCGGGAGCACTGGTCGGCTGGGCTAGGCTGGGTGGGTTGGAGGCGGTAACCCGAACACGGGATCGTGGGCCTCTTCATGGGGCCTACCCCAAGGGATGACCCGAGATCGAGGCTCACTGTCGGCAGCCAGCATGTCGTTAGCCTAAGGCCAGACCTTGGGTATGACCGCGTCTTGGCTGGCTTCTGGCTGGCTTCTGGCTGGCCCGGCTATACTGCGTGGTAGGCAGCATGGCGCCAACAAGCCACTGGGCTGGCGCACGGCCTTGCGGTTGCCGCAGGTGACAGCAAGACAGCAGCAAGATTGATGGGCGGGAAGTGGATCCTGACAAGCGCTTAATTCTGAGTCTCCGGGCGGGTGAGTTGGGTGGGTGGGCTCCTTTGTGGAAGCGACCAGGCCGTCACCTGTCACTCGTGAAGGGGGGTTGCTAAAGCCACACTGCCCACATGAGTGAATCAACTCAGGAGGGTGAAGCCGCCATTTCTGCATGCAATTTTTCGCCACCTTGAGCCGTTGATCACAGGAGCCAGTGAGATCTGCGTCAAGCGGGACTGGGCCTGGACCGTTTTGATGACGGCGACAGCAGTGACAGTCGCTACCAAAGAAGTGTAGAGACCGGTCAGCTGCGAATCTGCAACATTCGACGGGAATCAGTCGCGCCCAGATTGATACCCGGGCAGCACTGCCGCGGCGCGATTTGAATGTGGCTGCAGAACTAGGGGCTCGAAGATTTCCGGTGAGATTTGGCGAATTGGAAGGACGATGTATACGTTCCACTTCCTGATGGGCCTGGCTTGCCAGAACCTAGCTGGCCCGCTAGCCCTGACTGTGAAGGTGGCATGCAGGCCGCAGCAGTGATGTCGTATCCTCACCGGCTGTATTGTTGTTCGAAACCAGCCAGCCACAGGCAGTGAGCCGAGCTTGCTGATAGGATGCCACCGTAGCAAAGTCTCCTGGCGACGAAAACGATGATCTGTCACTGCAGGATCAGCTCTCGCGTATCTCGACGGCAGGGGGGAGAGGCGGGACGAGACAGCTGAGCCAGAGTAGGTAGCCGGAGGCAGCTCCAACCTGCAGGAAGGTTGTCAGGCAGCGCAGCACGATGTGGTGACTGGTCTTGGACAACAAGGCGACCCCGTGCTGGCGACGTGCACCAGGGTGAGGCGAATGTGATGCTCGTCATGGCTCGTTGTTCGACGTGGAACACCAGGATCCAACACTCGGCCGCCTGCTCATAGCAGACCTTGCGGGGAGCGTTGACAAGAGATAGACGATGTGCTTGAGTCAATGTGTGCGTCTGCGTGTACAGCCACAAATGCAGCACATGGTGTCGTCTCTGATCTTTGTCTCTGACATCCCCGAGGATATTGTAGCCATGTGAATGCCATTTCGTTCCATGCCATTGTCATCCGTTCCCCGGTGTCCGGCTATAGCCTCAACAGTTTTCGGGCATGATGCTCGGTCTGCAAGTCTCATGTACGACCGTACATTAGTGGCATATGCTCCATGCAGCCTCGCACATAGGGAGTAAAACTGTACGTACTGAGGTATGTCGGCCACTGTACAGGCAAGCAGACGGACAGACAGACAGACAGGAGACAGGTACACACACACATTCCAGTGTGGAGACACACAGCAGGGGGCTTGCCTAGTGGCGGAGATCTCCTTTCGATGGCCATCCTTAGTGCGAGCTGGTGATGAGGGCGAGTGGTGGAATCTCGGGTCGGACTGTCAGGGCCGATCAAACCCACCATGATCCATGCACTTGCAGGGTCCGCGCTGCCTCTTGTCCTCTTCCCCCCCCTGCCCATCACCCCTGCCCTCCCCCTCCACCGGCTAGACTGACAGGGACCCCACACCTTGAGGCGGGCAGATCCACACACATCATATCATGCCCACGCAGACACGAACCAAACAACGTCGAGCTCATGGTCCCCGCGCATGCAAGCCACCTGCTGGTACCTCAGTACATCCAATACTTGTAGGTAATACGTTTATGTCTACGCCTATGTACAGCATTCAATCCGCCTCCTCCTTGACATCGACCTCGCCTTCATCCTCGTTAGCCTCCTCCTCCTTCTCGACCTGCCCCACCCCGTGCTGATCCTCTCATGATCATGATCATGAGCGCCATACACGTATAGATCTCGCTGTTGAGTTGACTTGTCAAGCCTCGCTTACAGCAATACCCACGAGAACGTTCTCGGCCCTGCAGGTGGGCGGCCACTACCCTGGCATCCAGGCAGGCCAGGCCGTCTCCTGTCATATATCACAACTGTCAGACTCTACAGGGACAGACGCCAGGGATCTCGTGCAGATGATATACGGTGCTGAGGATTCTCGGGAAATGCCCGTCTCGAATCAACCTTTCAAGCGCAAAACGTCACCCCTGACGCCTTGCCATCTTGTAGCAGGCCCGCAGGTCCGGCTTCAACCTCAGCTGACACTTGTGCTAGTGAAGCCACCTTCGACATGCCCATTCTCCCTAGGCTAGCTGGCTAGCTGGGATATTCGACAGACCCGCCGACGGCGCCCAACCTGGGGGCTTCTAGGGCTTCCTCTTCACGGCTCGCCGTTGCCCTGACCTGAGGTGGATGGAGGAGGTCTGGAATCGTTCTCCCACCCGGAATGCACCTGTCCACTCCCACGGCGATGGGCACGAGTCTGGTTCGCGTCATGGAGTCTCTCCGCTGGCATGCTGCAATGTAGCCTTTAACAGGGTACTGGGTACAGCACTCGTACTCCGCAGCCGCCACTACGCATCACGGTCACCCGTCACAGTCCCCTCCCGAGGTGTCATTGTCAACCAATGTAAAAATGTGAAACGTCGACACTTGACAATGCTTCCGGCCGCTTGCTCTTGTCGCTGAATCAGCCCCATCACTGACACGAGGCGCTGCCACGGCACGATGGCGCCGTTGGTTCTGAGCGTGTCGTCATGGCTCCTGGCTGTGCTCGAGACCATGGCACTTGGGTCGGCTTCTCTTTGCCGAGGCAACTTCTGGGACTTCTACGGTACGTTGGCGTGGGGTAAACAAGAGATGGAAACTCGAGGTCTATTCGCGACTCGAGCGTTTACCCTCTAATTCCCGCCGGTTGAAAACGTTCCTCGCCTAGAGTTTGAACATGGGCCGTCCATTCAGCCCCCTTTTTAGCCATAATGAGCTTCAGCCCGGCAACCGGCAACATGCCAAAGGCCGAGATCTTAGCTAGACTCGATCTTCAACCAGACTTCTTCTCTCGCCGCTACGATATCCCTGCACCCTACATGGCACCGTAGCAGTCAGCATCTCAGATGCCTTTTTGCAAGCTCTACTACGGTAACGCTCTGCAATCCATCACTTGCGATTTAAGTGAGATCACACGGCCTCATTGGCCCATCGTGGCTGTCAGAGTACCGCCTGTCCTGGATGAAGCTTGCTCTACAGCCTGTGCAGATCTGAGGCGAGGCGGAACTTGGCGGTGCTTTGTGACATCCTGCACGTTGCAGACAACATGAGCCTAGAAAGGGCTACTGTACAGCACAGAAAGCACTTGCGGCAATAACGGATCAAAGGCGATCGCTGCACCCGGCTGATGTCGTAATATTTGCCAGTCGTTTTCTGTGCGCCTCCGAATCTGACCTGGCCTACAGCGAGCTACGCAGCTTAGCAGCGGCAGGTCGACCTCCACCACGGCCACATAGCACAGCATGGCATGCGTTAGCGCCGAACTCTCTTTCTGTGGCCTCGGGTGCCAGTCCGTTGCAACGACCTGGCGCTTGTGAATGTGATCGGGATTTGGTTAGGGAGGGCCCTGCCACGCAACCTTCTTGAGGCCAATGTAGCAGTATCAAGTCGCAGTATGGCGAGAGACACAACACGTCGTGTCATGTCCTGTGTGATGATGCGTCGCGTTAGCTAGTGGCCGAGTACAGTAGGTAGCACCACGGCTTTTGCCCTCATCGTCACCACTCAACCTACGCCCTCACAACTGGCTTACTCGCTGTCACCGCCACTGCGTGGTGTAATCTCGAGTCCTTCCGCGCCCCCAAATTACTCAGGAGGTTGGCAGGTAGCAGCGAGATCCTCTAGCGTCGCAGTCTGCGCTGCGTGCGAGCCCTACGGCAACCTCGCTTTCGAATCGCAGGGCTCCATTAAAGGAGTCTGGGCTTTATTTTCGTTTTTGTCGATCCATGGATCGAACATTTGGGCCAACCTGGTGTTGGAGAGAAATCCCAGGACGTACATTGTCACCCTAAAATTACTGTACCACGCAGATATGACGGCCGGATGACCAGCCCATCGGCCATGGGGGTGAGTGTATAATGGAAATGAGCAAGTTGTAGCCTTTGGAGACCACCCCAGTCGAGACGCTGAGGACCAGGTATCTGGAAGCGGGCGTGGGGAGGTAGGTGATTGAGAGTGAGAGGCTGAACCGGCTTGCCGCCGTCAAAGTCAGCGGGAATGCAAGGGACCTCCTTTCGTTTCGATTTCCTGGGCCCCCGCAAAGTCGGACAAAGGGCGTGGGTTTGTGATGATCGACATGATTCCACAAAGGCCCTTGGCGCGATCCGATATCGATCGAAGGCAACGAACGAAAAAGCCACCATCGCGTTGTCATGTCGCGCGGGGTGGAAACCACAGCTCTCAACCCTACAGTAGTACACAGTACCCATGCCTGCGTACCTGTGACTGTCCTCTCACCAGAGGTCCTCACCTTGCACGGCTGTCTTCTCAGACAGCAAGGCAGGGGTGGGAGGCTTAGCAGCTAGACGTGAACGGCGACCGGTAGATCAATCGCACAAGCCCGAGCCATCACGACTGCCCCCCAAGCGTCACCGGCCGCGTCCCTGAGTAACCTCAAATAGCCATGTGGCTTTCATCGGAATATAGCATCTGGCCCCGTGCGACCGCCCTGCTGCTGCCGCCGCCGCCGGGTCGACCCCAGGTCCCCGACGGTGTGCACCCAGGCCAATCTACTTGCGACTTGGGGGTATGGGGGGACATGGCGGGCAACAGAATAGGTAACACACGCATACACACACAAATGAGGGTAAGGGAGGTTCCAGGGGGAGGGGGAGGGGTTCATCCCCGGCCTCCTGGGCTCTGCCCTAAAAATCAGGGAAGGGTAGCCGAGTAGAAGCAGAAGGGGGATGGAAGGGGAGAGGGAAAAAGGAAGGAGGGAAAAGTGGAAAAGCAAAGATCCCGTTGTAGTGTGCCACGCCCCCCCCCCCCCATGTATGTACGTATGCATGTACAACCAGGTAGCACGAGGAAAGGCCGGCGTCCACGAGGGGGAGAGGGAGAAAGAGAGCAGGAAAAGAGAGGTGCGTTGAACCACCGGACCACAGAGAGATTGTCGTCTGAAACAACTGCCGCATGGCGTTCGCAAGGTGGGACAAGAGGAAGAAGAAGAAGAAAGGAAACAGAAGGGCAACAGTACAAAGACAAAGACAAAGTGCTTGCGCATGGAGGATTCTAGGTGTGGATTCGTGCGCGTGCGTGCGTGCGTGCGTACGTGCGTGCGGCGAGTTTTAATTATGAGAGAACCCGGCGCCGTGGAAAGGGCATGGAGGAAAAGAAAAGACGAGGGTACAAAAGTACCTGCGAACCGCGCATGAACGAACGCACATGGGACAAAGCAATTATCATGTAGCTAATATCCCCCAGGACGGCGAGCACACACGCGCGGGGGAGCAGGTGACCTTTTCTTGGGGGGCAGATCATCCCGCAGCACGGCGGGTTTGAGACAAGACAGGACGTCAGTTCGTGATTTTGTCTCTCTCTGTGCGACCCGACTGCATTGTCTTGGGGCGCGCGTCTCCCTCTCGCTGGCGTTGGGTTCACCAAAAAGCCCACGTTCGGGTGAGGCCCAGCAAATAACTGCACCAAGGACTGGGCTGGACTGTAGTAATATCTTTCGATTTTTGAGGTTCTGCTCCTACTGTGTCGGTCGTACAAGATGCTGGATGATGAAAATAAGAAAAATAGCCCTGAAAGGACATCCCCGACCGTGTGGCCCCACCGCCCCTTCGATCGAGAATGTATGCAATAGGTATCATCTCTAGTCCCCGGAAAACCCCTGTCCCGCGTGAAATTGTACAGATGCCCTGATTCTGTCTATTGCAGAAACCCGTTCCTCCAAAATCAATGTACTCCATGTTTGACCGCCTGATTTTCAGAGGTACCAGCCCGTGTTGTCCGTTCCAACCCATGTTCCCCAACGTTTGTTCGATCGCTTCGAGGCGAGAAACCCAAGAACTATGCCCCCCGATAGATTGGTGAATATCATTACGTCTTCCCATAGGATATGGACGGTATGGTCAAAAATATGTACAATGCCGCATTAAAAGTTGAGCAGGCAATGAAGAAAGCCATCCACGATCGTGTTGTGGTAGAACAAAATCGCCTCGTGCTTTGAAAAGTGTTTCCAGAGGAACTTGCATCTGCAGCAGCTGGTTTAGTAGCTGCCACCGCGCTTAATGTGTGATTGTTGCCTGCGAGCGTCGAGGTCGTCGTCATAGGCGCTGTCGCCGCCATCGCTGATGGTAGGGCTATTTCGGTGCTTGCCATCGACATCATAGTCGCCGCGCTCGGTTGAGGGAAGAACCTTGCCGTCCTGGCTGCGTCCTGAAGACATGGCATCAGACTCAGCGCGTGCGTTGTTAATCATCGCTGGCAGTTGTCTGCGGCGCGCGTTGATGAACCAGTTGGAAATTTGGTCTGAGAAACAAGAAGTTAGCACACTACAGTGGTGAAAATTGGAAGAACTGTTCTTACTCATTTGCAGGCCGGTTTGGCGCATCAACTCCTGCTTCTCATCCTCGGTAGGGTACGGGTGGTGTAAATGACCAACAAACCAATTCCTCAGCTTGTCTGTTGTCTCCTTTGGTAGGTTGCCTCTTCGCTTCCGCTGCTTGTTGTCCCCGCTCATGCCCATTCCCAGCTCGCCAAAACGCATGTACTCTTGGTAGTGAGGACCATAGCCAACCGATGAGAAAGGTGTCCTGTCGAGCGGGTGAATGGCGCCCATTGACAACGATTGCATCCGCGAGGGGTGGTGGTAGCCGTAAGCATACGGACCCTGACGGTAAGTCTCCATTCTTGCGTCGGCCGGGTGCATCATAATTTGCCTTGGAGGCTCCTGAAGATAATCATCGCTCGAGTGGCCACGAACTCGTGGCATAGGGGCAGAACCACGCTCCAGGCTCATGGGAGGCGGGAAGCTGGGCAGGGTTGGCCTGGGCTCGGGTCGCTCGACGTGATCCATCGCCACCGGTGAGGATCGCATTGCTGGCAGGCCGTAACTCGGAACGTAGGGGCTGGTCCTGGAACTTGATGGGGCCCAATGCTCGGCGTGTGTCCTCGCAGCAGGGGCGGGGGCTGGAGAAGCTTGTCGGAAGACTGGCCGCTCTGCAGGTCGTGGAGGGCTGTTGTAGAGCCTTGGTACTCGACTGGCCCGCTCTTCTCTCTCGTCGTCTATTGAGAGGCGTCTGCGCTTGTTTGATGAACTGGGTGAGTGCACATATTCTGGCGGTGTCATTACTCCTGTCGCGGGTCCAGTAGGCGACGTAGCAGATGATTGCGTCCTTCCTGAGGCTTCCTGGGGTCGAATCTGTAGTTGCAGTTCAGGGAAGGCCTGGTACGGCGATTAGTCGAGCTGTGCTAAAACGAACGGGCTACGGTGCAATTTACCTGTCGGATAGAGGGGAGAGCAATCCTGTCGGCATCGGACCGTGGCCTGGAAGAGGTGTAGTCTGTCGACCGGCCCTCGTCCCAGAAGTCCCGCCTAAAGGGTGCGTGAGGAGTAGGAGTGACCATGGCGATCATCGACATCGTGTGAGGTTGCTCGGATTGACTTTGATTAGGTTCTTTTTTTGCAGTCCCTGGAGGACTATATTCCATAACCTGCTGAACTTCGCCTTTGGAGATGTCCTCAGCGCCTACTAATGTCGAGTTGACTGATTAGCAGTGTTTCGGAGAATTTCCCAGACAGCCAGCCAGCCAGTCAGACGGCCAGGGAGGCAAAGTCTATGTCTGGCTTCTGCCACCACGTAAGCTGCGGGTGTCTTACCTCATGCAAGCCCGGACCGGATCACCAGTCTGGATGTGCAGAAGCGATGTCGAGTAGATGATTCCGAAAAAGCTGGAGTGGATTACCCGGATCCAGTGGTTGGCTGATGATGATGATGATGTTGTTGTTGTTGATCAAGAATGTGTGGTGGAAGTAAGATGGAGTAGGTTCGACGATCTTCGAGTGACTGGTCAGATCGGGTGGGGAGGAAATGTTGGATTGTAAATAGAGGTTATGACCAGTAGCAGACAGGGTGGGACGGGAGGCAGATATGAATCCTTTTGTAGGACACCAAGTGCCGTAGCGTCATGAACTCCTGAGTAGGTCGAGTGGTAGGTTGAGAAGGCGCCAATGCAACGGACGAACGCACAGGAGGGTTGTACCTAAAGGGGTAATAGCTGAGAGTCGCGGGATGTGGACTGGGGTGGGCAGGCTGGGGTCTAGAAGTGTCGGAGCTGAGATGAATCTTCAACAGGAGGACCAGCACACGGTGAAACTGACAGGTGCTTAGCTCCGGGACCTGCTTCAGTCGCTACTTGTGACTTGTACGGGTGGGATGGGAGAGGAGGAAGAAGATCCAAGTGCCAGGTACCGGTCGGGAGGAATTAAACAATGGGAGGAGGAAACAATTTAAGAGCAAGGTGTTGAAGATGGCCATGTATCATCCCAGCAAACTCGAGATGCTGGGTGTGGAGAGGTGCCGTTGACTGGAGGGACTAAGCCTGAAAAAGCCCAGACATGCGAGACATGGGTAAGGATGACAAGAGCATCCACCTGCTCTGCTGCTGCAGCACTACTGACTGTTATGTGAGCGTGTGTGTGAGTGTGGGCGTACCGTAGGTACGTACATTGTGTGTGTGTACATACATACATACATGTAGGCGATCAGGGTGTCAGGGTACATGGCCGTGGTAGCTCCTTTTGGGCGCACCGGCGATGGGGCCAATGGGCAGCACCAGTCCCAGGAGACCAGCATACGGGCAGGACAGGGCAAGGAGAAGTGGACGATGTCAGTGCTACCTACCCGGTTTCCGTTGCATGGAAGGGGGCCCGTGGAGGGTGCGAGGGTAGCAAAACCCACACCAGGGATCCCCCATGACAGCAGACCCACAGTGGACCTGCCATTGACCTGGGTGGCGTCCGTCCCTTTGCCGGGCTGCGTCGTGCCAGGTGCAAGGCTCGTGGGTGGGACTGGGATGGGACGGATGGAGAAGAAGACGGACCTGAGAGAAGGGGGGCCTGAGGGGCCCGGGTCAGGGGCCGATGGGAAGAGAAGGTGAGTGAGAAAGCGAGCGAGTGAATACTGTACCAGGGCGATGAAGCGATCCGCAGGCACGGCACGACCACAAAAGGTACGTAGAGACGTGGGTGGCAGACTAGATGGTCTAAACAGATACATACAAACACACGGCACTCTAGCGAGGTTCCCGAGGAAAAGCAGCTTTGGTCGCCATCTTTCTGTGTCTCTGTCCCCGATCCGAGCCTAAGCCTGAGCTTGAGCCAAAGCCTAAGCCCACCGCTTCTAGGTAGTCTCTGATGATGAAAAAAGCGTGGTTGGCACTGACAGATAGACAGGCTGATTGACAGACTGGCAGGCTGGCAGGCACGCAGTCAGTTTCGTTCCGAGGCATCGAGACTAGATGACAAGGCCAGCAACGGCAGCGAGAAAGACGTTGATGGGGCTAGAGCAGGTAGCGCAGAGGTCCGGCTGGTCTGCTACATGTCATGGCGTTGGCGTTTGTTGGCACGGACGGAGCAGGGGCGGGGGAGAGAGAGAGAAAGGACCGGAGATATTCAAACACAAAACACAAATACCATTGCAAACACAGACACAGACGCTGCTAAAATCCCATGCTAAAAGCAGCACAGTAGTAGTAGTAGTAGTAGTAGCCGTCGTAGTTACCGGCTGTTACCCGTACATTAACGCAAGTAGGTACAGTAGATAGACTATGACATTTTTCCATGGCCATGCCATGACCGTTGCAGTGCAGACTTGCGAGCTCGGGTCGAACCTCAAAATCTCGACCTCCAAATCTGGCCTGGCCTGGGCCTGGCCTCGGTTAGACGTTGACACGGTGCAATTGGTGTTGTGTACTGTACACACACAATCACTGCGTAAATTCTCACAGTAAATTGAAGAACTTTCGGTTCGGGTCAAGACACGGCTTACCTAAGACTGCGGTGGACGAGGATGCAAGTCCAGAGGGGTGGGTGTGGGTGTGTTGTGTGTGTGCGCTATGCATTTCCGTGTGCGCAATTTATCCATTCAGGTATCTAGATCTGTATCTACTTTGTCCCCCTGCCAATCGACAACAGAAATACCACACCACATCACAGCGACACGACTGTCCATCAACGACGATCCCGTATTATTAGTCTGGATCTCTGCCTTATTAACGATTAAATTACCCGATGGATCTATGTTGATTGGAGATTCCACCTGCAATGCGGGACACGCCCACCGTGCTGTGTTGCACAATCGTCCGCGCACCATCACACACACCCTGCCTGTCATTCACCCATCCTTCCATCCCGCGTGCGAGTCGATTGCGTGCAGCCAGTGTACGTACTATGCACACCCACACTTACGCTTGTTGCTTCCGTCTCCCGCTCAGTGTTGCTGTGGCTGGTGCACAAAGGCCGAAGACTTTCGGCCACGCTGGCATGCACTTGCACTGTCTGTTGGCCCAGCGAAAGGTCCTCTGGTCCCCTTCCCGACCCGGCCCTTGGGAAGCGGCGTGGTACCAGCGCCTCGGATTTGCCGGTTCTGCCCTTTGAGTTCTGTGCTTCTGTGCTTCTGTGCCCTACTGCCAGGCTATTCCAAATGACGGCCTTCCAGTGCTGACGTCGAAGCTTCATCCCCACACGGGTCGCTACCTAGTGGCTTGAGAAGTGCCCTTTTCTGCCGCCATGACACATTGATGATGACTATCCCGTCTGCACTTCGCAGCGCTACGTCGGCCTACCATGGGCGCGGACTCACTGACGCTCTGCCTACCTTAGCTGCTTAGGTCGCGGACAAGGCAACAACCGAGGCCATCGGGCATGATCCGTAACTGTCACCTGCTGCTGCCAAGGGTCTTGTGGTGAAACTATGCAGATGGTCAACAACGCCTTCGCTCGCAAGCTCGACCGAATAATTGCTGTCCTGATTTCTGGTGGTGGTAGTGGTGCTGCTTCATCCCTCCTCGTCCCAAATGCTCTCACACACATGGACAAGATTCCTGCAACGGCGGCTCGTGTTGTACCGAGTCGTGGCCTGCCGTCCGAGGTGGCCCATGGGCCCAGCTGCCCAGGACCCGGCCGCGAGTTGCCCATGCCCTGGGAGCCCGGTGTGTGCGGAGTCGGGGGTCCTGCCCTTCCCTTTGTTTCGTTTGTCTGCAGACACCGTCTCATCCTACAGCCAATCGCTCAGCAACAGCACGTACGTCAGATCAGGCTAAACATTTGGGAAGAACACAAAAGGCGCGTGCTGCGAACCTTTCAAACATCAGCCGGGTTAGCTTCTAGATGACACTCGACGTCAGATTCATCTGTTCTGCCGTCCTGCAAAACTAGGGGTTCGAAACGTTGACGTGTGTCGCTTCACGCCTGACAGCACGCCACTCGGTGCCATTACCAAGATGGTCAACGTCTCTCTGGACCCACGGCAATGAGCATGATGACGGGTCAGAAACAAAACGGATGCCCCGACATGGATGCAACACCACCAGCCTGCCAGGTGCTGATGGGTGACGGTGACGGCCGCGGCGACTCCAAGTCAAGCAACGGGGCAATCAATCTTGCATCTCGCTGCAGCAGCCGAGCCGGACAGCTCTCCATCAGGTGTGCCTACGGGCCACCACATCCACAGACACCGAGTCTAAAGATAGGGGCAGCCAACCCCGAGTCTATGGAAGCTCCAACCGCCACTGACATGTTGGGAACCAGGGTCCAGCACCTGAGGATCTCGAAGTTTATTGGGATGCCAAGCAGACGACGCCGAAACTGTCAAAGTCAAAAGCTGGAGCGAGTGCAGTGTACGTACCCAGTGACGCCTACAATGACTAGCAGAAGCCGAAATGACACTGCTTCATGGAGGAAGCACGCCCGCCGCTTACTGCTCCTGTTTGAGTGCTGGCCCCGAAGGAGGAGGAGCAGCAGCAGCAGCAGCAAGCAAGCAGTAACAAGGACGGTAACAGAGGTGTGACCGCGATGCAGCACACCACCACCACCACGCCCCACCCCAAACCATAGTCCACTCACCACTCACCACTCACCACCGTCCAAGGCCAGGATGGAACAGTTGGCGGCCACCGGCCAGGGCACGGCTGTCATGCAGACAGGGGCGGATCCGACCTTGGGGCTTGCCAAGGAGGCTCGCCAGCACGTGACAGTCGAGATCTGGAATGTTGATCTCAAACCTAATGCCCAAGCCTTTTGACAGATGATGGATGTGTCAAAATCGCGGCTTGTGCCTCGATTTCCACCGAGGGCGGCTGCGATTGGAGAGCGCCAAACGTGCTGCGCCGCAGTCGACTTGTCAAGAACCCCCAAGATGGTGCTGGGATGCCGGGTGGGAGATGCGATTGGCCCAGGCTGCAGATCTGCCGGGAAGGACGATATTTACGGGCGATCTGGCATGACAGGCTTGCTGTCAGTTGACAAGCGCAGGCTTGCGATTGGGCTCGCTTGCACTGTCATCCGGTTTCTGGCCAGCTTGGTGGGGAGAGCAGGGGGGTCGGTGTTGGGTGGGAAGAGCGAGGGCAAAGGGCAAGGGGGGCCAGGACCCAGCAATGCTCATCAGCAGCAACACGCAGCAAGCAGCAGGCCAGCAGGCCTGGGCAGGGTGTCAGGGTGTGTGGGCTGTGGGTGCAGCCGATGAAGATCCGTTTCCAACCTCCTGTCATTTGCGCGGCTTGACATCTGATGGGCCAGGGCCAACCCGGCTCACACCCCAAGCACCCTCTGCCCGTCTGCCAGCCCGCGATGGTTTCGTCCTAGCTAAGCATCCCGCACCATCCATGTGCACGACCGCGACCTCGAACCCTTCGTTCCCGATCCCGTTGCTCTCGGGGATCTGTGTTACCCAAGGTCAACAAGCGCCTCCCCGGACCGACCGTCGACCAGTCGCTGTCCAAGGTTCAAACTATCTTTCTGACATCTTTCCCGAAAGCCAAAAAAGAAAAGTCAAGAAGGGAAAAAGAAGAAAACCCAAATGGCCCTGCCACCCCCATCCGCGTTCCAGCCTAGATCAGACACCGCCTCCGGGGCTCGCAGTGCGAGCCTCTTTTGCTAGTACAGTACCATGCAGTACGGGTGATGCAGTGACCTGTGTTCTCGTACCCAAGTGGCCCTCTCTGTCGAGCGACTGTCGACTGTCGCTCCCTACCTCTCGAGTCTCCTCTCTCCTGCGAGCGAGCAGCGGCCAACTGCGACATTTGCAATGAGTCGCTAGCCATTGCAACATTACTCACCAGGGGCACTCGAGCTAGGGAGCACCTCGGTCTTTCAATACTGGGACTGCCTGATGATCTGCACTCCGCAGGCGACTAGTTTGACTGACTCTCAAGTCACCGGCTCGGCGAGTGATGACAATATTGATTGGGCTGCTCCTCCCCAAGACAGCCCCAGAATGCAACAAATGTGCTGTCGGTAAGCCTCTCGGGCCTAGGTGGTCGGCTGTCGCAGGCTGGCAGTCGTCAAAAGTACCTACTGTACTGGATTGTGTTAGTCGCAATAGCTGCTGCCTTTCTCTGTCCAAGATTTGACGTGAACATGACTCGCTGCTGGCATGGGACTCCGAGTCCACCCACCTCAAGCCCCATCGTCAGACCCCAGAGGCTAGAGCGATCTCCCTCCAGGCCTGACACGTCAGAATGCACAATGACGGGAGCAGCCTGAAGTCTATCTGCTATGTATCTGACTCTACATCCCTCTGTCATGTGCACTGCAGCACTTTGTTTTGCAGACTTGATGATGAAGCCGTCTTGGGAGTGACTTGACCTGACTCTTGGGCCTGACTTTTGGGAAGGGACCCTGCCTATAATTACGTAACATGCGCGCGTTTGTGAGGAGCTTCAACTGACCCACTTTTCTCTTTCCCGTCCGCGATCCTTCCTTTCCCTTGTGTCGCCAAAAGGATGTCGCTTCCCAAGAGAGAGGGTCGAGGGACCGGGGGAAGAGGGGGTGGGGGAAGGAGGCACGAAGAGGTGCAAAAGCTGGGAACGTGTGCAACAACAAGGCTGTCTCGTGGCTTCCCGGTTCCCCGTCCCCCACGCGCCCTCAATCTCTATGGATGCATGCACGTATTTTGTGCACCAACTTGAGAAGCCGTCCATCGAGGACTGGAAATGGAACTCCTCCTCCTTAACCATCTTCACCCCCTTGCCTCGCCTCCAGGCCTACCATGCCCCATCTTTGCTCAGCAGGACGCACGCGAAATTCAAAACAACATCAATCTCCTCCCCCTTGCTTCAATCAATCCCAGAGACGATGTGACGAGAACCGAGATATGGATAATCGGGGCCCGGCCCTCTCTTCCACGTTTCGCCCAAGGTTCGAGCCGCCAGAATTCGCAATACTCCTTCCTCATCACAGTTCCAGCCCCTTGCTGTCGCTGACTGCGGCGTCCGTTGCAACCTCGCCGGGCCCCAGGTCGAGCTGTCTGAGCCCCTCTGGTTGCTCGAGTCCCCGCCCACCATGCACAAGATGCTCCCAGTCAAGACTTCTGTAGAACAGCACATTGTGTACAGTGCGTACCGACACCGCTCTCGGACAAGAAGCACCTCGCTGCCCGCCACCACCTGGTCTCGGCGACTTGGCCCCTTGGGCAAGATGACGCCGACCTGCCCTGCCAGACTTGCCCTTCTGTGCAACCTGGATTGTGGCGTCTCCAGAAAGGCTGCTATGCTGCTACGTACTATCTAGGTGCTGGGTTTTGTCAATTTCGGTAATCTACTGGAGGCGGGCCCGGCAAGGAACCACTGTGTCGGTCGACGGGACCAGTGGCTCATGGCCTGCAGTTATCCGGGCAGACAGATAACAATTACCTTGGGGCTAGCTGTCAGCAGTTGGCGGGCAGGCCACGGCACAGCGGTCCACGCACGCCAGCTAGGTAGGTCTCGACATGCAAGCAAGCAAGCAGCTCCGTGATACGAGAGTGGTCGTTGAATCACGGTATAACATCAGACAAGCACACGCCTAGGCATACTTCTGAATACTCTCTGCCATTTCGCAGCCTTGATCCGGTAGATTCCCCATGAAGAATGTCGACCGCAATCATGGGCGCCGTTCTCATCCTTTCATCTCATTCGTCTTGAATTGCCAATACGCGGAAAATTCTTTTTGCTGGGATTTTCTGGGAGAGATTAACCGATGAGGACAAGCGTGAAGGGGTGTGCCTTGTTTGCACTCCTGCTGCCGCTATCAGAGGAAAGTCAACACCGAATCGGACTCTGGATGGGATACTGTTTACACAAGCAAACCGAAAAAGACCGAAAACATCAAACATCGCTGTGATATAGGACAATGCGCCACCTATCGCGTCCTCTGGTGCAACGCTTCCCTAACTCAAATGGGTTCGGTGGACGTGTGGCTGCTCACTCATCACCAAACACATTCCCTGCCAATTCCACTCGACATGCGCGGCCCCGTCCCACTCCACACAAGTGGATGAGCTCCAATTCTGGGGCCATCGATCAGCAAGGGCTTCGGAATTGCGCGGCGAGAATTGGATTGTTGATCTACAGTGCTTGCCCGAGGTTGAACCGCGTCGTGCGCCTTGGGTGCACAAGTCTGGCAGTTTTGGTAAGGCTGCCGTCTGATCTACGGATCATGCGTGGTCATCACGATCGAGAGGGCAACCGATGTTTTTAATTCATCCCAGTGCACCCGATTCTGCTGCCAACACTGCTGTTGCGGAGCCCGCCTTGCGCCTTCTTTGTGCGAGTCTCAACCATCACTTTCTATTCCAAGGCTGCTCTGCACTCAGGAATCAGTTTCACGGTGACATCTGACGTCGTGGGAGCCAGTGATACCGCGAGCTGCAACTAGATAAAAAATGGGGCTGAATCTGGGGGTGTTTGAGACACGACATACATCTGTCTGGCTTGTCGTGTCTACGATGTTGACTAAGATCGTATGTCTCAACTCTGCTCAACGCCACATGGCGACCACTAGCAAACTCAGGAATTGGTAAGTTTGTACCAGAGCTCTTGACAAGTTTTGAATCGAAGATCTCTCACTTGGCTTCTGGAAGCCGACGGAATAATCGGCTGGAAGGCTGCCACACATGCATGCACGATATGGCAGTGTGGCTGTGGCTCATCTGTTCCATCTGAGTTACTAGGACGGGATCGACGAAGCCAGGCACATTAACTGTTTTGGGGTGACTGGAGGACTGGCTCGGATCCATGGCTCGCCATGGTCCAGTACCCAGGCTGGATGAGTGCTGCAGTTGCGTGCTGTTCACGCACTGTTGGTCCCTGTCAGCCCCTGAGTCGACGGGCAGACGAGGGCATGATACGAATTCGAGGTCTTACACTTGGGCTACTGTATCATTACGCAGCCGTCGCTTTTACGACGTTGCGCAAAGCCCACGCCTCCACACTCAGTCAGACAAGCAAATACATTACACTCGGCGCATTCAATTCCAGGCTCTACGAGAGTGTCACTTCCTCCTGGCGTTGATGTGGATCCATCCTCCCGTCAATCTCCAGCTCGGGGCGCAGACGCGGGTGCCAAATATGCCCGGATGTCAAAGCTTCCCGTCGGCAGCAGGGATTCACTCGCGACAATGTCTTCAAGTGGTAAAGAGCTGCACGGCTAGCCTTGTCAGATCCGGCTCCGCTTCCAGTTGCCGTTGGACCTGAGTCGCTACCGAGAACTAGGATAGGCCTTGAAGTCCCCAGCGCTGTCAAGCACGCCAACTCGATGGCGGCGGCAAATCCCGTCACGTTGGAAACATTACAATGGTGGACAACTGGTCCCCGTTTTTTGGCATTGTGCATGTTACTGCCAGCACTACAAGCTGTGAACCTCAGAATTAAATTGCATTTTTCGGCAAATGCTCTTTTCCCATAAGGCGCCAGCGGCTTCTGCCGCATTTTGGGTTACGGGCCGATCAACGAGGCCCTCACCGACACCAGGTTGCGGCACTTACAGGATGAACTCCTCCACAGCGGTTTCAAGGCGACGGGATCTAATGCCTGCTCAAGCGCCCGAATACCACCTGCCGCGACGAATCGTCGGGCTTTATCCACAATCTGTTCCTCAAACTTGTCGCCCTTGGACTTTTCGCCTACCCATATCGCAAGCGAATACCACACCGGCGCAGGCAGATGTATTGGGCAAGCTGCATGTCCGGACTCTAACCCTCGACATGCTCGGTCGGAGGATAGCTAGACCGAATCAGCAGACCTGGGTGCACACAGTAGATTGCGA